CAGCTTAGCTGACGATGTTTACTTTTTTCGCAAGTAAAAGTACTCTTAATCAATCACTGCGTTGGAGTGCTCATTGATCAAGTGGTTACAGATGCAGTCGAATGGAGCAGCGTTCAATTGCACTCAAATAAAATGGTGTGCAGCCGAAAAAAGCTAGGGCCGCAACGCAAGTTTGACAAAAGGTTTTCATAGGGGATTTGTGTAGCAAGTTAATTATCTAACGACCCAACTTGCGCCCGTTCAAATGGTAAATGTCGCTTTGTGTGGCCTTTTAAATCGAGCTGGAACAATAGGCGCTAAAACAAACTAAGCAGGACAGGTGAGGTTACACGGACAGCCATACTATCCAAACAGACTTAGACTTGCCCGTTTCCAGGTCAGCGGGTCTAATGACAAACACAATATGCATTATTATGTGCGCTGTCCTCTGTGGTCGAGTCAAAAAAATATTCAACAAATGCAAAAATACTTGCACGCTTTTTAGCGCGTGTAGAACTTTTCGAATTCCCATAGTGTATCGTATAAAGTAGCACACTTGATGTTTGCCTCGGAAACATATTTGCTGGTAAAGTCAAGATACAGTTATTTCTCTTGTCAAAGATAATCTAGTCTACCGTCTCTAGAAAAAATCTATATACTCAGAAAATCAAGCTCACAGATATGTTGTATTGTGGCAAGATTTTAAGCTTTGGCTTGTACTTCGACTATTCCCTAACGATGTAGCTTTGCAAGAGTTCGTATTCGAGGGACTACACTCTAATTTGCTCCTTTGCTCAAATTCGCGTACTTTATACCCGTCATTAGGAACATCTTCCGGGTTGTGGTCAAAAGAAAAGTCTCATTATCGTAATAAAACAACGAGCCAGCGAAAGTATCAATTGAGAGGCATTGATAAATTGCAAAAGCAGAGCAATTGCGACATCTTCGAGTTCTCGACCTTCACAAAATGGCATCGTTTTTTCCCAGAAAGTTCGCGGCGTATGTCAGCGAGAGAGAATCCGGAGTCTTGGTGCGCTTGTGCGTCCCCGATATTAAAAAAAAAAATATACAACGAAATGTATAATCAAACTAAAATTCAACTTTTTTCGACACTTTTATTATCATGATTATTGTCCAATGAAATACGGCCATTATGACCAATGATTTCTATCCCGTTTTTGTTGCATGGTTTGCCTTATGGAACTGGAGACAGTCGCTAACTCTGGCACGTAACAGCAATATTTTATTTGCTAATCGCTTTAGTGCGCATCCGACGCTTCCAAGACGATCTTTGCGTTTTTTATTACTAGCATCGTTTCGTTGCCTGCAGCTCCTGTTTCTTATGTCCTACATACAAGCAGCGCAGTTTGGCCGACGTAGGCAAAGCATTTCCTCAGTGCAAGGAGACCATTAAGTACGTGTAGCTACTGATGTAAGCGGGCTTTGACGACTTTTCTGGTAGTATAGGTTTACAGCGACCAGCAAGCTTCTATGGGTTTCATTAACTGTGCATTAAAAATAAAAGACGGTGGGGGAGGAAAAAAGTGTCCAGCTTGGATTGCATTTACCAAATCGTCTATTGTGACGGCAGCTAGCGAGCAGGCGATCGGTTGAAGTACTTGTATCAAGCTTCGCGCGTCGTCGCAAATCAATGGATATATGTTGGCAAGCTATAATCCCTCTGTATTTTTTCTTCTGAAGTTTCAATTTTATATTTTGGTGTTCCATGTAAATTAGACAAAACAACTAACACGACCAGTGGGTTAAATCATCCAACATAAACCAATCGAACATCGGGTACGAATTGGAAAAATAAGACTGTCCTATATGTAATAAACGAATAACTAAAACTCGTAAAGAACAGTACATGGTAAGGTGCGTAGATCAAACGTAGATACAAACAACTTACGAAACCTTGATCAACGGAAATAATCATAGCGTCTTTATGGGTTATTTCTTTTCAACTACCGGCATAAATGTATACAAACGTTGCAAATAAACGCATTCTTGACCTTCTAGCTTTTTGCATATCCTAATTGAATTACGTTATTTTATGACATATTCGCTAAGTAACTACGCTCGTATCAATATGATCGGTTCTCGAATAGCGGTCTTATAGCGTGCATTACTTTTTTTTCGAGCTATAAGTTAGTAATACAACTATTCGTATGTTCGCTATCAGATGCAAACAAATACTTCTGAAAATGAGAGGTGGCTTCCTTGTTTTATTTTTTTTTTTCGAAGTTCTCACTTGTGTGCACCTGACGAGTTGGCTGAATATGCGAGTTGTTATATACAATATATAGAATCAACTTACTTTGGCGCTGCATAGAATTACTTCAAAAGTAACACATGACTTAAAACTTAACCTCACTAATACTCGAGTCTGAGGTCAGCTAATACTATTTTCTTGCGTATGCTACAAATTTTCTGTTCTCTCCTGCGAAAATCAAATGCGATGCGTTTTAGTCAAAAAATAAGAAACGTTTCAATTATTTATTATTTTTTACTTTTATATTGTTATTATCTTATTGTTGTGTTCGGCAGCCGTCAATAAAAAAAACAAACCGAACTAATACTGAAGCTTCTACATACATCCCAGGCTGTATTTTTTACACACATTTACATGAAATCCTTTTGGGTCGCAAAATCCTTTTGTATGCCTATCGACTTTCATTAATAATTACTGGATTGTTCGGTGTGATGCTCGCTGCCATAGTCATAATTAAAATCGTGATCGTTATCGATTGTTTAAGCAAATAATTTATCGGTAAATAATTGGTTTCAGGAAGTAAACAAAATTAGATCATAATGTTTTTCTATACGGGTTATATAATTGCCCGTGATCACAATTTTTGTTCGCTTGCCATACGTACCTTCCTCGTGCAAAAGGAATAATATGTCTTTAGAAATTATAGATTCTTACCTTCAGAATAGATTAGAATACCTGCAGCAAAACTGGTAGAGTTCGATGCGTATACGCCAGGATCGTACTGAACCCGAGTCCCGAATCTCAAATCCATTCAAAATTCGAGGTCACTTCAAATAGCGAAAATTTCCAGTACGATACGTACGTTAACACGAAGCGTCTTTGATTCCCAATAAGGTTATCACAGCACATATTCCAGCCTTTTATGTTGCGGTAGGTGGACTTGATTGAATTAAGGTTTTTACGATTTGCTTCTACTTTTAACTCTGTTCCGGTTCATTGATATTACTCTATTGTATTGTAACAAAAAAAATATCTGAAGTTTCGCAGCAGACAATCAAGGATTACCAACCAGACCACGGTAATTACAACCGATACATATCTCATCAGTTGTCCGGTCATAGGTATTATTGTCCCGATATTATTGTTACAGTAGCCTACAAAAATCCTGACTTTTCGGGAAGAGCATGAAGTCATTAGTCATGAAAGGGTATCGACATTGACTGCTATCGATGTGATGCTCAAATTAGTTTCCTTATATAAGGGCGGTATTTAACTAAATTTGAAGCAGATACAGACAAATCCTCGGTCAGGATTCGCTGCAAATTTGTTCTCGACGAAGTTATTATTCTGCGGTGCATTTGCTTCAGACAAAGGTTTTCAATCTTAATTAAGTTTACCTTATTGAAGGAAGCGATTTAATAATTTTTGATATTAATACTTATTTTAGTACTATTTGAATATACTTTAACAAACATTATTTTGATTTGTGTCAGTTTAAAGATGTAAGGCCTGATGTAGGAGCAAAACGCCATAAACATGAGTTAAAGACCCATATCTTCCAGTTATTATTTTTATTATGAGGGTCATCCTTTGAACACATCCTTTATCATCACACAAAGCCTGGGCATAAGTTATTGTTATTGTTAAACAATGACTACCAGTAAGTAGGGTACCAGAAAACCTTAACAATACTACCTGACGAACGAACTAGAACAGCATCGTTGATTTATTTGAAACCTTTGTGTGATTAGGACTATTTAGATTTAGATAAGTATTTAATGAATCAAACACAATTAGCCAATACCTACAGGTAAGTTTCTATAGGTTAGGGCTCTATTTCTCTTGCGGCTTGCTGCTGTGCCATCAAGCCTCAAGAGAAAAAAATTAGTTAATTAGGTTAACGCTATAGCCCGCAGTGCACGCTAGCCGTAAACAGCGTTATATTTAATGAAATATTATTAGTCCATTTGCTACCAAAGTTGTTGGAAATGCTTATGATATATAGGTAGATAGATAAGAACTAACTTTAACAAATAGTAACGTGCGCCTGATGACTGAAACCACTCCCGCATCGATACGGCCAGTACCTTTCATGTTAAACTCGAAGTTGACTAAAGCTCGGTACAATATCAGCGGATTATTCCATATCTAGAGAAATAAAATGAAGAGTGCGGACGTCCCACATCAGACTACACAGGATGGATGAGAAAGTGCACAAAAAGAGTGATACCTCATTTTGATCTACGGTATGAATGCCCATATCATAAGACAAAGATGCTCATAGGACACGAACGGTTTTATATACATATATGGCAAAAACAGATGTGGAAACTTACGTACCATACGCGTCGGGCGGAACCAGCGATATGGAGCTCACGATTACGAGACGCGACGCATTGCCTGGAGAGAAACTTCGCAAAGTTCCGCGTATGCCTATATCCGCCAGCAGACAGTGAAAGAAATTGTCGTTTATCGGAGACGCTGAACTCCCAAGAAAAATAGGAGCGCCTAGAAGAGTAGAGTAGGCGTGTGAACATAGGACGACCTCAAGGAGGAAGAAGAGAAAAGGAGACCCGAGCATCTAATCCATTTAGTGATGACATAGGTAACATTTGGGTGGAAGTCTGAAGTCAACAAGGTTAGCAAACGGACTTTTGATGTAGGATAGTCGCTGAAGTAATACTAATGCGTGGGGTAGTGCGTCCCACACTACATAAAATTTCAATGTATCCTTTATGTCAAGTCAAAGTAAAGAAAAAAAAAGATTGTTTCATATATAGAAAGGAGGCGCTTCCCGATTTCAATGCATTGCTAATGTTGTGAGACAACGAATCGAGGAAAGACCAAGTCGGCGACGCACACTTCGGTAAAATGAAAGTACCACTTAAACGAAAGGTAGGGTTTTTCGTCAAGTTCATGTTTTACGCATCTTGATGAACAACTGTGATTGAAGTCTATTGCTCAGAAGAAATGTTCCTCTGCGACTGACCTCTTTATACTAGAGGAGTCGTTTGGAAAAGGTGGTTTTTCTCAACTGTAAATATACAATTTAATGAGCTAATTTGTAGAAATCTAGCTCACTAAATTGTAAAAATACAATTTAGTGAGCTACATCAGAGGTGGATAGTTCTCGGCGTTTATCGCTTTATTACATGTCACTAGTTGGTGGTTTATACCTCACTCATGAAAAATGTTTTTATTTCACCTCAAAGAATTTACCTATTCGACTTGCTTTTGTGAAATTGTGTTTAAGAAAAATTGTGGGAAGTAATTTGTAAACAGACTCACTGTGAACTGTGCCGCATTTAAACTCAGGTAGAACTTCTAATATAGCACTGCTATCGTCTACTTATCAAGTGCGAAACGCACCTATAAAGAAAGCTTTGTCGGATACATTTCGGGACAATTATAATAAAAAATAAGAACACAAATATAGGCGAAATATTAACTTTCGCTTACAGTTATATTCATTATAAAGTAAGCTCGACATATTTATTATAAAATAAATATAAAATAATAAAAGCGATTTTCTACAGAAAAATAGTACATATATGTTACATTTCATATCGGCGTTGTATTTCTTGTATAAACTGGCTCTTTATACGTATTTTGAAATTATCGCATTTATCATTTTGATTTAAAAACGCACAACAGTCAAGCGTAGCTACTGACATAGACTATTTATATACAAGCAAATATGGTTTATCCGTCCATTCCGACAACTGCTATTTCGGATGTCAAGATCCCCACTAAATCGCTATGTTAAAATCAAATAGATGCTCAATGTGAATTTGTAGATAACCACTGTCAAGGCTGGCAATTGGAAACAGATCGTTTTGTGTTCTATCCAATACCCGGTAAAAAAATATACATGTAACACGCTAGTTTACCTGATCTCGCCACAGTAAATACAAATGTCAAAGTGACGAAGTGTTTATAAAAGTTTAGGAAATTTTTATTGAACGCATTCAGCGTTCCAATCAAGCAGTGTTTTAAATTGGCATTGGTTGATTGTAAAAACATAGCTGCGAGCCGTTGAGGCAAAGCGCGGTGTATCGGGTACCGATACGAATGTGTGTTTTAAAACTTTCCCCATAGAACACTTCATCGTAGCAAGGAGCATCGCATTTGTAGAGGCAATCAACGATATAATACCATTTAACAATTATCAGAATATGCGTGAGGTTCGCGTAATCTTTATCGGATGTTCTGAGTATGGGTTAGCTTTTCCAGTGTTATTTAGCAGAATACAGCTTAAGAGTCGCAGTCGCATAACTACGTAGAGCAGTTTCCTGTTCAGCGGTTGCATTACTGGTCTGTGGACTTCTTCGTACCCTTATGCCAATGAAGACTGCCTCGTGCCCGGCCGACAATCGTATACATCCCAGAAAGGTTTATCGTAAAATTCAACCTAATCTATTCGGTGCTATTCAGTATGGTTAAATTCGGTGAGGACACGGGGTCGTCCTAAATGGGAAATCCAGTTATATATCCAGTAGACACGTTATTGGGGGCTCTCCTCTTTTACCACTGTGCAGTTATATTGTGACGTAGCCAACTCTACTATAGCTGCGTTTGATGTAAAAAAACTAAGGAGCTCAATTTTACGATGACACCTTTACGATCTGCTATTATCGACGATTCTTACTGTTCCCACTAAAAGATATTAAAAATCAAAAGCAAATTTCCTTGATCTTAAACAAAACCACTCAAAAAACAAGTTTTTTGAGTGGTTTTTTATAATCATCGGACCCACTGCTGATCATATCTTCGATGGTTTTCCCATTATTTCAGGAAGATTTTTCAAAAGAAGCACTTTCGAGTTCAGCTTTGATCTTGAGATTTTGATTCTGGAACTTTTTTGGATTCGATCTGGGAAGTTTTTAGTTAAAAACTTCCCACATCGAGTCAAAGTTCCAATTAGTAATTTTCTAGTAATTCGCTAGTACGTACTCTGTGCTTATTTTGTTCTTGGAATTGTTATGTTTTAATGTTATGTTAAGATAGCTTTCACATTAGATCAGCAACGTTTAGCAATGTTTAGTTTAGAAGAATATTATACATACTGAGAAGCCGCAACGTGTAGAAAGCATTTTTCATAAAATGCAGGTCTTTCTCCCTGTATCAAATAGCAGCAGATAAAAGAGCGCAAACGCGATGTAAGTGGAAAAGCAGGAGACTAATGACGTTTTCCTAGGAGAAATGGCTTCAAGTGATATAGTCTGCGACGCGGAGTCAACTCGTGGTAGATTAAGATCGTTCAGTTTACCACATAATACGCGTATTAACAAATGTTGCATGAAGTGACATTTGGAAGCCATAAAAAAAAAAGCGAACTTAATATCTAATTCTAGGAATTTTGTATATTTGTTAGCTTTTCTAGTAACTCAAGGAGGAATGGAAGCGTCTCGTTTTGATGGTGCTTTTTCAAATAAAAGCAAGCCTTAGATAAAACTATCCGAGTCTTCCTTAACCAACCGTAGTTTGTGTCGTTCGATATTTTTGTATGTATAGCATGCCTCCGGCAATGGAGATGATGAGTCGTCTCCCGCTAAGGATATATGTATTGCATCCGCCCCGACAAATAAAACATTCGCTCATCTAGATGACGCAGTAACGACCCATGAAGTTCGAATACCCAAGCATCAGGCGAAGAGACAAAAACGTAACAAAGTGGATAGTGACAATAAGCTGAAATGTTCTCATTGTAATAAGAAAACTGGACTTGCCTCAACCTATGACTGCAGGTACCTTTTTCAAGAACTAATAACGCGTAAAACGATTTGTTGTGGAACCTAGCTAATCGCTAGATTCGCAGGACATATTGTTTATTGCTGATCGTTCTACGAATATTGAAAGCAGGCAGCGTCTCGAATCCTGGTCAGTGGCTATTGCCGCGTGTTGGTGGTCTTGGTTCATGTTAGTTACAGGTTGAGTTGCCATTACACATTCCATATGGACAATGGTCGGCAAATTATTTCAGAGCGTGTTTTTTGACGTTCATCGGTTCTTGGATAACATTAGTAGTTCGACCCGGGAAAAACCCAGCACAAAGCTAGTACCGTACGCGCCTATATGAAATCAAGGTATCTACTAGTAGCGTTCTCGTGACGATTTAGGTTTAGGTTAGATAACCGCGAATGGTTTTCTAGGGGCTAGAATAGGGAAAACATTTATTTCAACTATCAAAAAATCATAGTCCTTTCCGGAGCGTAGGATTGAGAACAAAATTGCACTAGATCGTCTTCAGAGCGTTCTGGATTGCTGACGCCAGTATCGGACATGACATATTGATGGGAGCTTCGATTCAAATGAATCAGAGCTGCTTTTTTTAGACATTTAATATCGTCTACAATAAAAGCGAACAATGACGCTCGTGGAATTGAATGCTTATTGCAGGTGCGGGAAAAAATTTTGTTCGGAACATCGTTACGCGGAACTGCATAATTGCTGTTTTGATTATAAAAAACAAGGACGACTAGAGCTTCTGAGAAACAACCCGATTGTCCGGGCGGAGAAACTCGAAAAAATATGAAGTATCACTAACCTAAAACATAATTGTCTGACAGAATCTAGTGTTGCGGTTATCGTTTTCATACAAAGAACGCATTTTGCAAGAGTTAGACTTGGGATTATCCTGCTGTTCATTTCACCTCGTGCTAGTTCCGACCAGCTCAATGAAATAAACTCGATGGACGGTTCGAACGTTAATTTCTGTTACGAAAGGAACATAAACATTCGGGGGAGCACCGAAACGTTGTGTGATAACGTTTGTATAGAGGCAGACTTTTTCTCTATTGGCATACTAAATCGCCCCGCAACCTGCGTAGCCATCTTTATTTTGAATGAGTCGACTGCCTTCATATTTATTCTAAATAAATGTATCGAATATGAGCAAGATCACAAGAGGATTGTTTGGGGAAAGGGGGGAGTGTTGCTATGAATAGTTACGAGACCAAATAAATGGGGAGTAGATAAACGATGGGATGGGTCATTTGTAGACGTCAATTCTTTTTTTATCGCGTGATGTATGGTAGTGCAAAGGTTTGTTTGGCAGTAGATTACGCTATTTGAGATTTTTTTTTAGCGATATTTCTTGCTTTTTTTTTTGAAACCATCAACTCTATGCGCTGCGAGTTGGTGGACGCAGGCACGATGGTCGTACCTATTTACGAACGTGGCCAGGTCCAGTTATAATATGTTAACAATACCAGTATATATGGCGATTTAGTAAATGCGGCATACTTTTCGTGAAATTCGCCAGCTATCCGTGTATGTCCGTCTGATTTATAGCATGAGGCAGTGCATAATAAGGCTGCGTACCTTAACTCAAGCCTTGATGCTTAATTCAAACATTTTTGCCATGCCTCCACAATAAGCTATAGGTGAGTCGATGATTTTACCTGTAACTTTTAGCCCACTTTGCTAACTTGCATGGGGAAATGACAAAGTTACGGTTACGCATTTTGTTCTCGCGGTGGCTTTAAAGCCTGTCCCGGGCTGTAGAAGTCAAGGAGCAATTCTCACCAAAAAAGCTGAATGTGTCTTATTATTTCTTTTACTTTATACACAAATGTTTTCGAGAACTTCAATCACATAATAATATAAAACCTAACATATAATGAAAACAACATAGATGTCTCAGAATCCATTTCACGTAAGTAATAAACATAGAAAGAGAATAAAAATATATGGTGTAAGAGATACAATACGAATAATGTAATATAAACAATATTTAATAAGAACAAGTAAAAAAAAAGAAAGGTATCGATTCGTATTGGCACTGTTTTACCCGTATGAGTACCTACAAAATACGGTGCGGTAATTCTTTTCCGTCACAGCTGTCTAACGTTGGCAGCTCGACTCGTCAAAAATGGTGCTCAAACTTTCGGTGCATTTTTTGCAAACTATAAGTGAATGCCTCTTGAATAGGTGGATTTAACAAGGACGGAACTAGACGGTATCTAGCGAAGTCGGGTTAATGGTAAACGGTGTCACACCCTGAAGGCGAACGTGGAGTTTACTGTTTATATTTGTCCGTTCATTTTGTCAAATTTTAAGTAGAATGATTTTCAGTCGGTCGCGCTCTGCACAACACTTGGAAACAATTTCCAGTTTAATTGTTTCAGTTGATAACTTGACAACGTAACATTTTTCAGATGAGACCCAGTTTTCTGAAATAGTTCAGAAAATACCAAGTGGCGGAAATTGGGCCCGTTAGGCACCCAGACATCGAAGTTTGCAGTAGCCCACGACACGATAGCTGAGGCGGCAGCAACGATGGTATCACAAGTCAGTTCTATAGCGAGCCATTTGTTTAAGTATGGACAACTACGTAGAACAATTTTACGAGACTTTTCTATAAGAAGAGAACCGTTGTAGCGAGGTTTTCGTGTGCAAGCCCAAAAGTTGTATGTTGACGTTCGTTCTTCAATTCTAAAGGTAGACGTCAAAAGAAACGTAAAAACGAGAGGATAATCAAAATTCCAGTGCAAAAAAGCGCAGATGTGAACCATACTAAAGATTTGAATTTGTGAGCGGGATATTGTCGGTTAACCTGAAATCTCATTAAGAGTCTCAAAAAAAGAAATGTCTCTTAGGAAAGGAAATTTTACCAGTATGCCAATGACGCCAGTAAATTGTTCGAAGCTGCTACGAAAACGAGCACGAAAATTGGCTTCGAAGGACTTCTAAAGAAGAACACGAAGTGTTCGGCCAAGAAAAGCATTTAAATAAAAATTACCTGCGGCATCTAAAAGGTTTCGGCTGACCGACTGTAATGCATTATACATTAGGAAAGGTTGTGTGGGAAAGGAAAAGGAGTATATATATTTCCGTGCGTAAAAGTCATGAAAAACCATGGCCAAGTCAGGTGGTCAGCAAGTGCTAAGGCTAATACATAGTATATTAATACAGCTGTCCTCATTAACTTCGATCACCTCTCCGGAAACAACAAAACAGTGTAGGTTCTTCGATCTCAACCGTTCCAGCCATCTCATCTGTTCTCCCGTCCTGAGTTTCAATCCATACGAGAAAAAGGAGCCTACAAATAACAGTTGAACTTCTAGTCATAATTAGTCTGTCATCGACTGACAGCCAAAGTATGTCGTCCCTTTTTATCTTGGAAACAGGGGATAGGAAAATGGGTCTTGCAAGGGATGGTGAGCATAGAGTATATATGTAATCAGACTCGACTAGGGCAGTCTGGTTGTGTAGTTCTGCTCTAAAACAACAAACTTTAGAAACAAGTTTTGAGATTCTTAATTAGTTCGAAAATGTATGAAGCGTGCGGCATATGTGTGCAGACCAACAAAAAGACCTGTCTATTCAAAGACAGTTCGATGACTCGTATCGTATGTGTGGGCTATTTATAGTCAATTGACTAATTGACTCAAGCCTGTTCTTCTCGCCTACTTTATGACTATCGGCGTGATAGATAAGGCGCCGAACACGGAATCAGTTGAACGATGCCTTGTACGTTACTACTTTGTTTCCTCCCATTTAAAGGCGATAAGATCAAATTTATTATCAAGAAATAAAAGATACTCAACCAAAAGACATTTCATAACTTAACTATTTTACGGTGTAAAGGTTCACAATATCCTCTGGCGTAGCGTTACGAAAGTGATAAAAATAGATTACTAACCTACTATGATCTCAGTAATTATTATTTTATGGACCAAGCTGCATTGCTCGTTCTGTGGCAGTCAGCTGCCAATAAAAAATTAGTACCTTGCCATTGACAGAAAATTCAGCACATCATTTTGTTTTTTTTTCCGGTGATTCATGTACGGGAGAGCGCGGCTATGCGGGCCATTCTGGTTTTCTCGATCAGAGAACGTTAACCGACAATTCTAATACCGTATGAATTCATTCATTTTTTTCAGTTACTAAGCGCAATCTGTGTCATTGCATTTATTCTTTAACAAAAAGTGGGAGCATTTTGAATAGCCAGGAGTTTTCCTTCTTCGAACCTCTGACGCGTCATAGAAGAGCAAAATAAATACCTTATTTTTATCACAGATGTGCCTATAAAAGCTACGTTTCACTGTTAAGGTCAAAACAAGTTGTGCTTCATTAAAGTCATTAGAGTGTACTATAATATATGATTACGCAAAGGGTCGGGCTCTATGGGCCAGTATTGCTTGCTACACAGATTAATGAAAAGGATTAAGTTGTCTACAAACCAGGCTTTTCTAGCGGGTATATATATATATACGCGTGTCTATATTATACTAAACCAGTGTGTTGTTATTTCGTGCTTATGCGCGACAATATCAAGTTATCTTTGGAACAAATCATAACGTCCGTATTCGCTAAAAGCACCGTCGATGTGACGTTGTCAAATTACGCAATCTAGCAGGAAAATGTACTAAATTGTTAAACGAATTTTATTTACCTGCTTAAACATGTCAGGTTCCTAAAGGACTTGAACGGCGTGTTCTTTGACCAGCGATATTAAAGGATCGTTAAAAACAGCCCACTTTAATACGTTGCTCGTACAGGATTCTACTTGCTTGTACCCCATTCCGTCGTTGTTAGGAAACAACATAGCACCAAAAATGGTGGGTACATAGAAAAAAAAAGCGAATGTTAATAAGAAAAATGATGGTGCAGCTGGATGTGCGAGAAATAACTGCAGGTATTGCAGATGTCCTGCCATTAAGGGAGCAGTTGGTGAATTTGGGCTAAGCAAGACCACGATGCAACGTCAGCTGTCTAATAAGCTACAGCTGCTGTTAACTTAGACGAGCTTGCTTCGTTATACGTACATTGGTGCCGTCTGTTTAATGCATGTCAAGAGGCTACATTAGTCGTAAACCTTATTCAATGGGTAAGATTATGCAAGATCGTCCTATACTCAAAGTAAGTTTGCTAAACGACCGACATGAACTTACGACACAGTTGGGACCGCGACGAGGCTGCAGGGAGGGAGGTATTATACAATGAATTTCTATATGATAGCCCGACAAGATATTTTCTTCACGCGCAATAATGAGCTTTAATGAGGAAGCGGTCAAATCTGCTTCGAAAATATCGAAGCTTTGGTAGAGTCATGCAATGCTGCTCCCTTAGATATCTTCAATCCAGACGAGACATCCCTTCTTACGATCATGGATGCTGCGAAAGTAATTGCGGTTAAACAACGGAACTCTTTTTTTTTCTAATAATAATAATATTGAGAGCACGAAATCCTTGCTGCAACACTCGCCTTCGTATGCTCAAAAATACAGTTCTGCCGTATTTGTGTTTCCTTGAATGTATTTCAACGAAGATAATGTTAAATGGATGCCCCGCTGGAGGGAAAGGTTCTTTAAACGCATTTAGATGAAATAGTGTTTTAAGTATTTCATCGAAACCATTCGCTTTTCTCTAGAAAAGCCACTTGCGCTAATCGAAAATAATCACAAGCCTAAGAGCAATTTTTTTTACACCACTACTCGAACAAGCTACAGCGCTTGGCGTTGGGCAATTCAAAGCTCCACTTGGTATGGGTTAACAGAACTTTGTTACTGCTTGCGATAGAATGATTACAATCCACGATGTAGTGGCAGAAAGTGTACGCGGGCAATTATTTACAATGCCAAATATTGTTACATTCACAAAGAATGGCCTATTACGGGTAATGCAGGCCGGTCGCCAAGCGGGCCTGTCGGGCTATCACGGAATGTCATTCCAGTAGGACAGCCGTTTGTACTAGCAGCTCCAGCGAAGAAGAGAGGAGACAGAATCCATAAATACTAATTCTCACAAAACAACATCAGTTACAGTGTCTTTGAACGCATGCTTAGTTGCACATCATTCTATCATCTATTTTCTTTACAGAAACAACTGAAAATTTGGAAAAATGTTTAACTAAGATTATGCGAACAGA